CCCTTTTTTCCGGAACTCCTCTTTTTCAACGTATGAAAACTATTTGACATCCCCATTGGCTTAAATGTATTGAAAAGTGCACTTTTGTAATCCTGTATTAAGATTATTTATGCTTTATGTACAACTGAGGGCGCTGTTGCCGTGATGTCTGCCGGGAAGTCATGACCCAGTGTATGGGCTTTTCTGTTCAAGTTGTGAACTCATTGAAAACATTTCTGAGAAAAGTTAGGCCAGCAGAATCTGAAAAAAAAAGTGTGACTTTTTTGTGCACAAAATAATGTACCATTAATGTTGTCTTCCTGCATGACGATGGGAATGTTCATCAACATAAAAACCCACAAGTTGGCAAAATACCCCTAAGATAGTGGAACAAAATTGAACATAAGATTACCTGAGGCACAAAGGTGCATTCAGGAGGTTTGTATGTTAAAATTTCTATGGCAGAGTCCCTTTAAAAACGGTATGTCTTCTTCTTGTCCATTTTCCGTTTCTTTCATCTAGGTCCCATCGGTTGTTCAGGGCATTCTTTGTGCCGTTTGTGTCCTCGAGATACGTTACTTCTGCAGATTATGTCATTCTGAAAACGAAGCGACGGAAAGTGGTCAGCAAGAAGAAGCCCAGCCTGAAAGATGTTCCAGACAAGACAAGATGATGACAGCTTTTTTTTCCTTCCAAATCCATAGGAGGATTCAGCATTTGGAAGAGAGGGGTGTCCAAAAGTAAAAGGGGCCACCCCAAACGGAGGTGAACATCAAACATAAGAAGGGAATTAATGTACTTTTGCTGAGAAATTGTTTGGATGATATTCAATATGCAGTTGAGGGCAAAAAAGTACACAAGAAAAAGTACGGGGACCCCACACCGGGTGCACCGATGCCCTCAGGGTCCGCCAATGAAATGCATCAATTTCATTCACTTAAAAAATGTCTTCTGTTTCTTTATCCTCCAGTTGGATGACCAGGTACATTGTTTGGGTGTCTTGTTTGTTTCCTGTGCGATACTTCGTTGAGATGTAAATGCTTCAGATGTCAAGGATCATAGCTTGTCAATGACATTGGAGAAAATAAAAGCAGACTGTATCAGTCCATTTTACACACATGCGTAAAATTATCTCCAAATCATTTAATCATGTTAAATTTGAAATCAATTCTTTGGGATATTGTAACGCAGTGGCCTGAGCGGGTTGGAGGGTGCTCTGGCGCGGCAGCTGTCACCTTGAAAGGATCTGAATGCTGTTTCACAATAAATTTATAGTTCCCAGATCCGTTTGGTTGAAATATATAACCAGGCAGCTAATTTGGACGGGGACAGACAGAATGAGCAACGAACAAGCTTCCTTTGGGTGGTACTCTATTTAGTCACGAAGACCATCTACAAATCTCAATT